CCTGGTAGATGTCGCCGCTCTGCAAAACCTTCTTGAAATTCTCCTCACCGCCAAGCTTGGCCACCATCAAAGCCTTCGGGCGGCCTCTCACCTTTTCTTTGCCGCAGACTTTCCGGTAAAAGGTGGAGAGTTGCTTCCGAACAGTGTTTTCCCTGTTCAGCTGGTATTTCTCACCTGGCTTCCCTGCCTCAGTTTTGGTCACGGCATCATTGATGAGCTTGGTCTTGTCAGCCTCAGATAAAAAAGCAAACCATGCACACCAGGAGCCAAAGGCTGCCTCACAAGACATCGAAATCTATAGAGGAGCCAAAGGCTACCTATTACACTTCGATATAGTCGATCTTGAAAATGTGGCAAGACACACGACTGACTTTGTCCGAGGCGAACAGACTCTGGATCTCTTCCGGCATGATGTCCAGGTGCTTCGTGAACCTCCATGCCTTCTTCTTGTCCCGAGTCGCCGGCTCCACGTCGGCCTCCTTTGTCTCAGCAACCTGGAGGTCGCTCAGCTTCGCCGCTTTCTCTCGGTCCTGGTCCGAGCGAGACTTTTTCGCCTTGTTGCCCTCCTCCGCCGGGGTGACCGGTCGTTTGTTGCTGTCGTCCTTCTCAGGGCTCGGCTCTTCGACCTCCTTCCCCTTGTTGCCCTTCGCCTTGGCTTTGGGCTGCTTGGTGGAGTTCTTGCTGCCCTCGTGCTTCTCTTTTTTTGCCGTGTCGTCGTCGCCCGGCTTCTCGTCCTCGCTGGACTTCTCGGGCTTTACTATTGCCTTGGGTTTTCCGGCGACCTTGGCTTTCGACTCGGCCTTGGCCTTGGCCTCTGCCTTGGCCTTGGCCTTGGCCTTGGCCTTGGCCTTGGCCTTGGCCTTGGCCTTGGCCTTGGCCTTGGCCTTGGCCTTGGCCTTGGCCTTGTCTGCTGCCTCAGGATCTGTAGACTCTGTAGGTTCAACTTCAGGCAGGCCGGGAGACTGTTGCTCTTCTGCCCCGCTTTCGTGCTCAAGCTCCTGAGTCTCGACCAAAAGAGTTTCCTGTGCGGAGTCTGGAGTCTTCAGACTAAAGAATTGGTCCAAGGCACCTTGACTCGACATGGCTTGGAGGCTTTGAGGTGCTATCTGTCTTGAGCTCCAGGACTGCAGCAGAGCAGCTAGAGCATATATACAGAGGTCAAGGGGCCTTGAAACTAGAGGGTCCAAGGCTTCCTATTTCACGACTTGGTCTATATATCCTAAAATCTTCAATATATATATATACTAAAGGAGCCGAAGGCTTCCTATTGTGGGGCTGACATATATATATATATATGGTACC